GACAAACTCGAGAGGCGAACGACGCGCGTGACGTTAAGCCCTCGAAAACGAGCGGCCGTCGCCGCAACCCCTCTTAAAAACGACCGGCCGAAGGCTAAGAGAAAAGATTTTCGAGAAGCGCCCCGATCCTCAGGGACCCTGATAATGGCGCCCTTCTGGCCCCGATTAACCATCTGCCCATCTACGGGAGCTCGCGGTCGACGGCCGCCATTTTTCGACGCCTCGACCGAGGTTCGCGCGTCCAAAGCGTCTCTCACGAAATTCCATGCTTTTCGAACATAACGCACCTCGAGGCTCGACGGAAAGTTATAGTCGATCTTCCGAAGATGGAATATGAGATTTATCTCGAAAGCGAACGATTGATTGCGAGAATTTTCAGGAAAGTACCCTGATAATGGCGCCCTTATAGTCCTGGCTTTAGATCGATGGCCGCCATTTTCCGATCCTCGTTCGAAGTTCGCGGGTCCAATGCGTCTATCTCGAAATTCCCTGTTTTTCAAACAACGCACCTCGAATCTCGGCGGAAGGTCACTATCGACCTTCCGAAACCGCAATATGCGATTTATCTCGAAAACGAACGTTTTCACCCCCTCTTTAACTAGTCACCACCTTTCTGCGATCCTCTCCATATCTATCTCCACCTTGCCGTGGTTCCCTCTCTCTCTCTCTCGCTTGCACCCCTTCGCTTTGTGCCTGCATCCCTCTCACTCGCTCCAGACGAACTGGTTCCATCCGACGAGCAACTGGTAGCACTTGTTGGACAATCCGTAGTCACGCTACCGGAAAAATCCATCGCTAGTGTTATTTGACGAGGAGCCGAATATGCGGAAGGTGTCGGGAATACTTTTCATCCCCCAGGTTATCCTAAGGATCGCAAGGATCATGCAGGATCACGGACGGGATCGTGTACAAAATACACGGGCAAAATCACGTATAAAATCGCGTAGAAAATTGAGTACAAAGTAGCGTACAAAAATCGCACGTACCGTGACATCCGATTACGACAATCGACGAAGAAATCGACAACGACCGATATCGCGGGTCCAACCGGTTCCACTTAGTACTGACGTCGCAGAACGTGCTTATATCTCGATCGGTTGACATCGCACTGACAATGAGAAATAAAAATTCATCGAACGAACGAAATATTTGGTCAATTGAAAAAATAATTATTTCGCCCAAATAAAGTGAAATAAATTGTCATCATTTCGAAGAAACGTTGCATCCAATTTATTCGAGACTGAGTCGGATAATTATTTCTTTGGTTGAATGGACATTTTTTTTTCTCAGTGCCCGCGCGATTCGTTGCAGGATTTTCGATTCTAGCATTTGGGTCAGGCATCGATGTCGTTGACCTAATCGAAAGGTCAAGGTAAACGATTCGCGATTGAATAGCGAATCGATTGCGAGTCGCGACGGCGCTCTTGCTTATCCAGGTAAAATTGCGTAAACGGGTTTGCACGCATGATGGAGCGTAAAGTGCAAAAATCCCACGGCGACGGTTTATCGATACAAAGCATAATAGCGGCTTTACACGGTTGGTTCGTATCCACGAGACACGCGATTTATTCCTGGATGGTAATACAGAGAAGGGATTAAGTCGGATTAGAAGACTTTTTACGAATCGCTGCGAAGCGTCGAGCGGAACCGATCATGCACGCATAAAAAGAATTCCCGATCGTAAGAAGAAATATTACTTGTCGCAACGCGCGTGAACACTCGAAAATGGGCCAGCAACATTTCTGTTATATCGACTGGAAGCTGGAATAAATTGGATGCAACATTTATTCGGAATTATGACAATTTATTACAGTCAAATAAATTATTCTTCCAATTAACGAAATATTTCTTTGGTACTATTCAAAGAAACATTTCTATCGTTGGTGCGATTATTCCTCCAGTGAGAGCAAAACTTTATCAGTGATGCTGTCCTTTGCAAAATGTGCGAATGTATGTTTTTTGGGGCACGTCGAGCAGATATCAATGTGGTATCCATATTGACTTTCCGTTCTACCTGCATTATGCAAATTAACAATTTATTCGGACTAATGACGGTCGGGATTTGTCCGTTTTCAGGAGTGAATTGGGGGGCGCGATGCGATTTTCCGAAGCACCGTTCCATAAATTAACGCGATTGGTCGCAACGCCCTGACCGAGGCAACAAACGAGCTCGACCATGCGCTCGTTACTAACGTCGAGTATGGGAGCACCGTCGTAAATGTATGTTAATTAGCGAGAGCATAACTTATGATCGGTTACGCGACGAGTATACGACCAGGGAGTTCTTAAAGTCGATCTCGAAGACGAGCCTGGAGAATTCTTCGATGCTCTTCCGGAGGAAGAGGATCTAAAACGGAAGTCCTGGTGCTACAACATGCTACAAAAATCCACCTAATTTTTCGTATCCACTCGACGACCGATGAATCGATCGATCTCGAATAATCCAATCTTCGCGACTGGCAACACGCAGAAAAATATTTCGATGATTCAAAATTTTCATCAGCATTTGAACGATCGAAACAAACGAGTTTGGTCGATTGAACCAAAATTCGATTCGCTCACCCGAAGCGTTTTCTGAAATTAATCGATTTTTATTATTTTTCTTCTGCGTGAAAGAAGGGTCGACTGCGCGCCGAACCTTTCTGCCACATCCGATCGAACCTGTGACTTGATCGGTCCATTAGAATATGACATTGTGTGCGTGGAAACGATCTCGATAGTCGAGAGAGAACGCCTAATCTGCAGCCTCCATCTTGGGAAAGCGTCTCCCGATCCTCTCGTTGTCTTTCGTAGAACTCCGAGACGCGGAACAAAGAGTCGAAGTCCGGCTTCGGAATTTATATTCGAGAGCTGCTCGTCGGCTGTCGAGAGGCTAGCCATGACCCCAGAGCTTAGTGCTTAACGAACTTTCTCCGAAAGGGACTTGAACGACATTTTGTCGATCTCTGCGGATAAGGAAGAGAAGCTCCTCCACCTCTTCGACTTCGAACCATCTAGGCCAAGTTGCTCAGCGAGTATTTCCGCGGCGCGCCATTTTATTTAATCGAAAATGCTAGATGGGCACGCTGATCCTTGAACAGGTAACCTTAGTCTTTGGAACCGGGAAACCATGTATTTCAATGCAAGAAATCATATGGAAATCGCAACCAGAAATCGCTGTAAATCATTAGAAGTTACCGAAATGTCACAATATTAAGACCGATCGTCCCTTGTTATCGAATCACATTGTTTATCATACGAAATCAAAGGCAAAGGCCCTCAATTTTAGTCTTGTACTTTTTGCGAGACGAAGATCGAGAGCAAGATCAAAACCAAGCCTGCGAGGTCGATTTTCCTCATCATCGGTCGGTCCTAGATCGAGGTCATCCAAAACTCCTTCAGGACTCCTTCGAGACTCCTTTGGGACTTCTTCAGGGAAGCGACGAAAGAGTCGACGCGTGTCCTCTCCTCGGAGCCATCGGATCAGAACGAGCTCCTTCTCGGAAGGGGCATGTCCGTTTGGTCTCTCCACCTGCTGGAACCCAGTCTATTTATCCCCTTGGAAAGCGGTCCAGACTCGGTTGGGTTTTTCGCTCCTCCGCCTGCAACGACCAACGCATGCTCTGCCTTTAACGCAGCCTTATTACCGATCCATTTGCATTCGTCCCCGGAAGGCTCTTACTCGTATACGATCGACTCGACGCGTTTCGAGGCGAAACTACCAGCGGACCTATCGGGCCCAGTTTTCTTATCGAAAACCCGAGTCCGATGGTCCTCGATATCGCAAGGCTCGATTGAAGGCGCGAGAAGTCCTCCAGTGCCTGCTAATAATAGGCACCATCTTCGGGATCTAACGACATCTCCGAATTACACGGGACTAATTTTCCGCCCGTGGAGTGCACTCTAAACCTGTTTAGTCCTTGGCACGCGGAGAATTCTGTAAAGCTAGGAAAAAGGACCAGCCAGAATCGATACTTTCCGTGCGAGGGACCATTTCGACCCATCTATAACCTAAAGACGTTTGAAATCGAAGACGGGTGTGAAGAGACCAGTTGAGATGGCTTGGGATCTTCTCGTGGAAGCCCGACCCTTAAAAAACTGAAAATAGGGAAAACAAAGATGGCGGCGACCTCGGTCACCTCTCGAATGGCCTTCCTGTATGGTTACAAGTATTCCATCCAGTTAGGCCTCGCGTGTGAAATTAAAACCGTACCCCAACTGCTCTACCGCGGGCGGAAAGCCTTCGGAGCATCGCGTATTATCTTTACCGTAACGCGGAATACAGTTAGGACAAATTCGTATGTACAGAAGGAAGTCGAGGTGCGCGTCGTTGTTCGCGTGGATTTGCGGATGCTCGCAGCGTTGCGTGCCGGTTAAATTACTCCCTATTGAAGAATTCGGCTTGTACGTCAGTCTAGTCGAAATGCGCGTGATTGCGGAGCTGCGGCTGCGATAACGCCGCCTGCTGCGCCGCCATCTTTGAATCGTGCTCGGGCTGAAACGATTAGGCTCGTAATTGCCCGTGCGAATTTCCGCGCCGCGATTCGGACGCCCCCTTCGATCCATCTTCCTTGGGCACATCCCTTCCTAAAGAGAAATTGCATGTCGAGGCCGAGTGCAATAATTCCCCGCAGCCGATATCACAAAAGTCTTGAACGAGTTATACCCGGGCGACATTTAGCTGTGCGATTAATCAGTGCTGGTGATTTAGCAATGCCGATATAATCGTGCTGATAAAAATATCCGATATAAGGACACCTCTAAGGAAACTGAAGAGTGGGTCCTTGACGTATATAACTCACGATCAATACACAAAAACAACTTCAGAACTAAACCGCTCTTATTTACGGCTAATAAAAATAACAAAAAGGTAATGTACGCGGCAGTAGCGTGCATGAACCGCACTGCTAAAATTTGTTCATCGTAAAATCCATCTTATCACGGTATGCGATATATAAAAGGGGGTTTTTCGACATTGTCAACCCTTATGTATCTTCTAATCAAGGAACTCTTAATTACAGGTGCGTGTGACAGTTCTGGACAAAAACGACGTGGCTCCCAGTTGGGGCGAAGGACCATGGAAATTCGAGATCTCCGAAGAAGCTCCTCCAGGAACGCTGATCGCGGCCCTGAAGGCTCAGGACCCGGACACGATCGGAACCTTAAGGTACACCCTGGTGGCGGATCCAAAAGCGGACAACGAGTCCAACGAGGTCAAGAGTCAATTCATTCTCGACTCGGACTCTGGTCAACTGAGACTGGCCGAAGCTCTCGACAGAGAGGCGAAAGAGAAATACGTCGTCAAAGTGAGAGCCGACGACGGAGTGCAGCACACGGACATCTCCTTGACCATCCAGGTGAGCCTTTCCTTGATTACTACTCGAGGTGTATATACGTAAAGAAAATGTTTACATTCATCACCACATGTCTCCGCGTTTTACGTATATCAAACATTTAATTGACATTACGCGTTAATTTTGTCGATTCGATTATCCCTAGTCGAGAAGAAACGTATATATTAACGCAAACACTGTGAAAAAAGATTAGTTGACTGAAGCAGGTATATATCGTTGCTGAATCATATACAATTGTAAGGAACTATTATTTCGTTGAGAAGAAAAATTGATGTAGAGTTAAAAGAATTTTCTTAACTCAATGACATTTCTTTGGACGTATGCATGGATTTTGTTGACGCGATGCTGTTTTGAGTCAACCAATTTTTTTTCTGTGTTCGATACGATCGAGATCTCCCCGGTACGAAGGCGCTCTTAAGAATCAAAATCAACGGTAAATGTCGAGTCGGCGGTAAATCGACTGGGAATAATTAGTCGGATAACGCTTAACCCGAACGATCGTGCGGACGATCCAGTCGAAGAACGGCACGGCTCTAAGCGAGGGACGGTCCCATCGGCCGATTCCATCGGCGAACCCGAGAATTACGCTGTCAATCGCAAAACGGATGTAGCTACGTCTCGTACGTCGATGAAAATCGCAACGGCGTCGACCGGATAGAGCAGGAAGTCGCATTGTGACCTTTCAGCCCCGGAGCGCGCGAGCGTGGGTTGGCACGACCGGCGGTTCCGGTACCGATGCCGAGAACAATCAGCCCTTTTATCTTCCTGGCTCTCCACCTATTTCGAAGAGACCCGAGAAGAAGAGTCCGCCAGCCTAGGGAGAAAATTCTCTCTTGGGGCCGCACACCCTCAACTCCCACCTTCCGTCATTTCCGCGTTCTCCGGAGTCGAAATTTTGATCGTAAAGTGAATCCCCACTCTTCATAAATAACATTTTTCATAAATAATGAAGTTTCACGGGAGCCCCGATGAGGTGTTGGAGCGGCTTCGATCACGATCGTTTGTCCTGGATGGATGGCTGAGATGTGATAAGAGGTCGCGATAATGTAGGTGAAGTTTGGCGATCGGGGTCGAAGTGTCGGTGCAGGCCAGAGATGCAGACGTCTCTCTAAGGGAATCGTAAAGTTTAACGACAACGTCTAATACTCGAGTCAGATAAGAGGCCACTCCTTGCAGAGGCTGGAAGGACCTCGTCCCACCTAGACCGTCCCTCAAGGGACGGTTCCGACAAGGAGCGTTTTTAGTCTACCGACGACGAAAGTTATGTGCCACGACTGCCAGAGGAATAAGCCAAACGAGTCTCGCCGCATCCTAGGAGAGAATTATTAGCTCGGGACGAGGCATTCTTTGAATTATCACCGCGAATGCACCGCATGCTGAATATCTCGCCAGGGAATCTGAGTCGTATTGGATTAACGCGCGTTAATCCATCGGTGGAGGAACGGGCATTGGATGTCCCGTGCTAGTCGGTAATGCGACATTAATGATAGGCATACGTATCGCGGGAAATGATTAACGAGCGTGTAATTAGAAAGTGCACGTCTTTCGACATCCACGGAAACTCCCTTTGAGAGATGCCTTTTATGCAACGGTTGACCAAGAGTCGCTTCGAAATCGCTCGAAATATCTTTGAAACGATGGACTTTGCAACGCGTTTCTCCGCCTAGTGTACGTAGGAAAAGAAATTCACAGTAGACCCGACAAAGAGTGGAATAAACGGGACGACAACCCGGATTTACGTTTCCAGCTTCCTTTGGAATCTTGATCTCGATCGATGCAACGATATTCCGCTTCCGGTGAATTCCAGAAAAATGTAGAAATTCCTCTTTTCGAAGGACCTCCGATTAGACGGATCGGAGGTTCGTCGAGACCTCCATATCGAGGAATAACCTCTCGGGGGAAGTAAATAAAATATAGGCGCCAGTTCTTTCGAATCGCGAGCAATTAGTGCCGGTGCCCACGGCCTGGTCGGTACCGGTACCGATAATCGACGATTATTCGACAATGTCGCCGTGCGTTTCTTCTGGCCGTAACTCCTGGCCGGTATGCGTAATAATCCCCCAGGGAAGAACAAAGCTCCCGTTTAACGAGGGGCCCTGAGCAAGGCCCCCTTCGAAGAAGTACAAAAGTCCCCTTTATGATGCTTCATTAACGGGAGGAATTCTTTCGAGTCCCACTCCGGCATTGTCCGCGGCGATGGCCGCCACTCCGAAAGGCAGCAGGAATTTCGGACCGATCATAGCCGGCTCCTCTTTGGCTCCCCGCGGAATCTCTCCCGCCGTGCTCGCCAAATCCCCACCGGAGATCCTGATACGCTTTGGGTTCCTTGGAATGCTACCGACCACTTTCCGTTAGGATCCTACTAAAGAATCCTAACGGGGAACGTCCTTCTACCCGCGAGCGTACGCGGCTCGTTGCAGAAACGAATATGCTAAATCCCCGTCGGAACGTTCGTCTCTTCGACGGATCTCGAGATCAGCGATCGATCTCCTGAATCTTAGATTTTGGTCAATGTACTTTTTCCTAAGCCAATTTAGCGCTGATTAACAACGAATATTTCTAACTTCACCGGCTCAAAGTGTTCACTACTTTTCGACTCGTAGCAGGAACGAATATGCTGAACACCCGTCGAAGCCTTCGTCTCCTCGATGAATTCGAGATCTGCCATCGATCGATCCTTCGAATCTTGTATCTTTGTCAGAGTACCTCTTCCAAATCCAGTCCACTAGCGATTAGCAACGACCATTCCACACCCCACCGGATCGAGGTGCTCGCCTTCTTTCTTCCCCATCTTCCCGGCTTCTTTTTCGGCCATTCCATTGGTTCCTCTTGATTTGGAGTCTCCTTTTGGTTTTTGCAACCCCTGAAAGATCGCACGCGTTTGTTGGGCTCGCATGGGACCGAAATACTCCCTCCGCTCTCTGTTCGTCCGTCATTTTCTTTCCCGCTTAGGAATTCCCTTTGCGGCCCCGATCGACAAGATTGGAACGTCCTGGGTCTTCTTTCGCATCGGGAGTTCTTCGGGCCCTTCTTTCCTCTTTTCTTAGCCGAAAGTAATTGCGGCCGACGAGCGTTCGCTCGTAAACCGCTCCGATAGAGATATGAAGAGTTTTTGTAGGACCGATCGAGGTGACCAAATTCATTTGGCAGAGAATCTAATTGGCGACACGAGGAGAAATTTTCGCGCCTTAAGGTGATGCGAAAGTGGCCTCAAAGGAGTCTCGTTTATGAAACTTTTTTATAAACATTTTTAAAATCCTTTATAAAAATAGGGATTCAGGACCCTCTTTATACCCTCCATATTTATATTGTCAAGTCTGAAACGATTCGGTGGATCCAGTTCGGAGAAAAGTTTCATGAACGATGAACCCCTCTGATGCCACTTCACATCCCCTTAACAGATATAAAGAGCTTTTGCATGGCCGAGGTGACGAAATTCATTTTCTAAGAGATCTAATCCACAACTCGAGGGGTGGCTTTCGCTTCGATAGAGACATGAAGTATTTTTGCACCGTCAATCGACGTGATCAATGTTTTGGTTCATCTTCCACGCCAGCTTCCCAAGAGAACGTCGATTCTTAGCGTGTCGCCGTAACTCTATAATAAGTGTCTCAATTGTCTCGCCGAGCCCCTCGCGTCCGTTTCCCCGGCATATACGTAGATGTTTACGGTTAAGCGGTTATCCGATCGCCGGGGAAAAATCCGCGGACAATCCGTGCACGGAGACGTATATTTAGCGGTAATAGGACTCGACGTGCGGTACCCGCCAGGTAATCGCAAGCCACGTCCGCGGGGTATCGTACGGTACCGACGCATTCTGAACGCAAGCGACGCGACATCGACGGATCGTCTATTTCCAACGTTTCGAAGGGAGTAATCTTTATTATCCGCGATTCCAGGTGACGGGCGCAAATGACCGAAGGAATGTTCGAATATTCCCAGGGAAATTCCCGGAGAAACCGAGAACCGATCGCCTTTGATTTCTCGTGATAAATAGCAACGTGACTCGATAACAAGTAACGTTCGCCCTTGAAATTGATAAACATTGAATATAATAAACAGTAACGTGATTCGATATGAAGTAACGTTCGACCTTCAAATTGTGACGTGTCAGTAATTTTCAAGGATTTCCAGGGATTTCTGCTTGGGATTTGTAGCTGATTCCCACGTGACTTCCAGCATTAAATTCCATTTCCCTAGTGAAGAACTTTTTGTAACCGATGTGACGGTCAACTAATTTGCAATATTTATCATTCCAGGTGACGGACACGAACGACAACGCGCCGACGTTCCAGGTGACGGCGTACTCCTTCGACGTGCCGGAAAACGTTCCGAGAGGAAGCCGCGTCGGCCAGGTCGTCGCGACCGACGCCGACGCTCCGGGCCCGAATAGCCAACTGGGGTACGTCCTTATCTCCGACTGGGCCAACGACGTCTTCTCCTTGAACCCTGCTAGTGGAGTTTTCACCCTCACCGCCAGCCTCGACTATGAACAGGTTGGTACCCTTCACCAATTTCTGACTTCCGAAACCGCGGTTGATCCACTAAACGGAGAAAAATTCAAGATCACGCTGAAAAATAATTTCCGATGGAAAATAATTAGTCGATAAATCATTTTCGCAGGAAAATAATGACACGATAAATGATGTTCACTTAATCATGGCTCTTTAATACAAATATTTGGTTCAACTAATATTGTTTTTCCCAAAACTGAGCAAACGAGTTTAACCAAGTGAACCGAAATTCGGTTTGTTCAACTGGAGTAGTTTTTGAAATTAGCCAAGTGCAGTCCATCAAACGGTTTCGTTCACCGTGTAGCGCTTTTTTCTTTTTTTTTCTTCGTGTAGAAGAATCGAACCACACCCGTGTCGCGCGTTCGCACGACGATTTACATTCGTAAGTGGCCTCGCGGCCGGTGGATATCTGCTTAATTATCGGATTTTGCCTTGCGCCTTTTCTGCCCGTTTCCGTCTCTCTTGCACCGCCAGCCCTGGTCCGACATTGCTCTCTTTCTCGCTATCCCTCTCTTTATCCAGTGGCACGCTATATTGGCATCGGTCGAAGCCAGGACATCTTCTCTCTATTTCGCAGTGCGTTAAAGGATAATTATTAGATACAAATAAACTGAAATAAATTCTCACAATTCCGAAGAAGCGTTGCATCCGAGTTATTCGAGTAAAATAATTCCTTCAATTCCTTGAATTAACTAACCGTTTCGACATATGGGCGATATTCATCGAAGTGTGCAGGGAATGTTGGACCAAACGTCGGACGCCTTTAGGCGCTCTTAGGAGCCAAAGGGTTAAGAAAATATTTCCTTGGTACCATCCAAGGAAGTATTTCTCAGGTTGAATGAAATGCTTTTCTTGGTGGAGAGACAGCTCGGGTAATGGGAACGACTCTACCCTAACCTACTCGAGTCTAGTCTCGGGGTCATCGCTCGCGACGTTGCACCTGTCCGTTCGGACATGATGAACTTTAACTTGGGAGAGCTTTTAACGGGAGAGGAGGAGAGAAGGGGCTGACTAGGCGTCCGGGTCGAGAGGGAGTCGAGGCGAAGACCGCGGGCCGGAAAAGAGAAAAGAGAGGAGAGAAAAGAGGGGGAAAGAGGACCCGAGAAGCAGCCACCGCTGTTAAAATTCGTAAAACTGCCCAGGGCGACGACGATGAGGGTTTCTTGGCGAACACCGACATGGCCGAGAATAGGCACGCGTGGCCTCATGCAGGAGATCGGGTCCTAGAATTTCGAACAGACGTTTCTAATGCTAGCCCGGCGCTGCGTCGTGGACGAAAGGGGTTTCTGAGGGGGGCAGGGCTCAGAGGCCCGCCGAGAAGGGGGGCCGAAGGCCGTTTATAGAACCCTTCATCAACCTAAACGCCCTTCCAGATACACGCCGAGATTATTACCTGACCGTGCGCCAAGCGCAACGCGTTTCGCGGGCCCAGTGGAAACGCAGAAATAACACGGTGCTTCCCCTCCTAAAGTAGGTCCTTGCAAAGTCGTTAAGTATAGAGTTCAAGGGTTCGATTAAAAGGCGAAGAACGGCGCGACCGTCGGTTCAGGGGCCGAGGGGTGGCGAAGCCCCCGTTCGGCTCTGTGAGGACCTCCAACCGGAACGCCGCGAGGACGTGAAATTCGAGTGGCGGGAATCGCCGAGACTCGCCTCAAAATCGTCTCGAAATCGCCGAACCGCCGCGCCGCACCGGCGCCATATTCGAGAGCGTTTCTTCGCCTCTATCGTGAATGGTAGGATGAAGTCCAATAGGTACGACATTTGGGAAAAAAATTCGGAGATATCCAGAAAAAATTTGGAGATACCTAAAAAAAATTCTGTGGTATCTAGAAAAACTTTAACATTGACTAAGGTGTCTGAGAGATACCGCAGGCCAAAATAGAAGCTGGAAAGGATAACGTAAAAAAAAAGCACGGGCCAAGTCCGAGATATCCTGCGAAGTACAGATCTCGATAGAACAACTCGAGAGAAGATAAGAGTAACCTCGGCAGAAAATCCACCTGGAGTCAAAGCCCGGTCAAAAAACGAATGCCGGTTTCATTTGGAGTCGCGATCGAAGACGACCGGTGGAATTGATTTATTCGCGCGAGTCCTCGCAGGGTGCTTCATTCTCGATAACGAGGAATCGCACGATCTCTCGAGTAGCCACGGGGCATAGGATCTACAGTGTGAGAATTGACAATGAAAGATTCGCCTCGATTTCGACGTATTCTTCGAGGAGGCTGTCTCGAATCCCTTCTAGCCGAGGGAAGACGGCAGGAGGAGATAAGAGATAAGTATTGAAAGAGGCTGCCGGCCAAGTAAAGATCGGCCACGGAACGTCGGAAAGCCTCGAAGAGGCATGACCGGCCGAAGGGACGGAAAGGGGAAAAACGGAGATGGAAGGCGAGCTCTTGGTCGATTCGGCGAAGGCGGAAACAAGAAGCGATCTAGGAAATTGCGTAACGAGGTCCCGGTAAAAAGTTACCCGGTCACTCGCGAGCTGACTCGTTCGATCTTTCGCGGCTGAGTTGGCCGACTCCGGTTTTTATTCGACATTTCCGTGTCGGTCACGTACTAGATAATGGTGCATCGATAGGTGTTAAACGCTGCACCTTTCAGAATTCAATACCGCCGCGTTCGCAAAATTGGATAAAATTGTAGTGCGAGGGTTTTCCGCCATTACTCGCCCTAAGGATGTTAGCAAAAGAATGCGTTGTAAACTGTCTAGCGGGTCAGCCTGTTATGAAAAAATATGATAATTTTATAATATGGCTCCTAGCTACCGGAGCTAAAGAGCTTCGATGGATCCAATGGGTCCACGTGGTTCGATCGACGCTCACCTGGGCAAGGATTCGTAACACCACGAGGCGTTATCTAAAATGTCCCCTCGTAAACGGGTTATCTTGACGAGTGTCGATTAACTCGCAAGCAAAGGTGCGATTAAACCTCGCATCCATGTTCGCAGGTCCAGCACTACATCCTCGTGGTCCAGGCTACCGATGGAGGGATTCCAGCCCTATCGTCCACCGTGACCGTTTACTGCAACGTGGTGGACCTTAATGACAATGCACCGATTTTCGAGGCAGGACCACACGCCACGGAGGTCCCAGAAAACGCGACGGTAGGTTCTTCCGTCCTTTCGGTGACCGCCCAGGATTTGGATTCCGGAGACAACGGGAGAGTCGTCTACGCCATCGCCAGCGGCGACGAGAACCAGGACTTCGGGGTCGCCCCCAATGGCACCGTCTTCACCAGGAAACCGCTGGACAGGGAATCCAAGCCCATCTACAATCTGATACTGAGTGCCACCGACAGTCCGCAGCCTCCGGGTCGACCTCTGTCCTCCACCGTTCAGGTTGGTCATCTTCTTGCGTAGCCAAGCGTCGTCGGCCGATCTCGCGTTTCCGAGGCTCCTGCAATTTGCTCCGAATGGCCTCTAAGGCTAACAGGACTCGGGACGTCCACGAATGGTAACGAGACGCTTTCGAGATTAACCCTTTGAAATCTGCGCCTGCAGTTTCATCGAGTCGTCTACGGGACGAATGTTTTCCGTTTCGACTCGGCGAAAAAGCTTCAATTGCAATTCCCGCAATTTCCACCATCTTGGTACTCCATTATTGGTATTCCACGGTATTCCTCAAAAGAATTCACGGTCATAACAGGAAATTTTAGCCGCAACAAACGTGAATGCTTGAAAATCGGCCAGCAACATTTTTGTTATATACGACGACAAAAAAAAAAACGATTACTTCATTGGCGCAACAAAAGTTCTACTCACAGTTGCAATATTCTTTTCTGGCAACGACAAATTTATTTGCTAATTTAGCAAGCGCTTTCTCTTAAGAGAGTCCTATAATCTATATCTACGATCCGATATAATTGCAAACAGTTTTGTTGTCGGTGTGGTGATTTTTGCAGTAAGAGCAAAACTTTATCGGTGATGCTGTTCTTTGATAAAAGTGGAAATGTCATTTTTTCGTGCAGCTGCGACCGATGTCGAAAATTTGTATCTTTCGTTATCCCCAGGTTACGGTGACGCTGCTCGATGTCAACGACGTCGCCCCGGAATTCATCTCGCCGAATCAAACCTCTGTGGCGGAAAACACGTCGCCCAATACGGTGGTGATGGTCGTCAAGGCGATAGACCGCGACGAGGGCCGGAACGGATACGTCGAGTATTCTTTGGAAGACACCACGCTTCCGTTTACCTTGGGCGGCGTGGACGGTCTACTTCGGGTTTCCGGTCCCTTGGATCGGGAGCACAGACCTAATTACACCCTGACCGTCACTGCCAAAGACAGGGGAGAGCCTGCCAAGTCATCCTTTACCACCGTCACCGTCGTCGTTCTGGATGAGAACGACAACTCGCCAGTCTTTGACCCCAGACAGTACTCCGCTACGGTAGCGGAGAACGCCAGCATCGGAGCGAGTGTTCTCCAGGTAAACTACGGTCGGCAGTATTTTTATTCCTATTCGATTAGAACATATCCAGTAAAATCACGAGGTAGTATGATAATCGTAAGGACCCCAGATAGTATTCTGTTGTCGTAACGGAGAACGCCAGCATAGGAGCGAGTGTTCTCCAGGTAAACTACGGTCGCCTGTATTTTTTTTTCTCCTATTCGATTAGATAATATCCAGTCAAATCACGAGGTAGTTTGTTAATCGGAAGGATGCCGTTATAATCACTGTGTTTTTCCATCTTTGTACAGGTTTCGGCCACGGATCGGGACGAAGGCGCCAACGGCAGAGTTCGGTACAGTATCTCTGCCGGCGACGACAATCGAGATTTCACTATCTCGGAAGATGGCGGCGTCATCAGGGTAGCGAAAAATTTGAACTTCGAGCGAAAGTCCAGGTATCGTCTCACGGTTCGTGGAGAAGATTGCGCACCCGAGGTTGGAGAAGTATCTCGCGACGACACGGCAGAAGTGACGATTTCTGTCCTCGACATCAACGACAATGCGCCGGTTTTTCTCGACTCGCCGTACCTTGCACACGTGATGGAAAATATGGTGCCACCTGGAGGGGGATTCGTAATACAGGTGTGTATTCATTAGACACTTTAGTATTTTCTTCAATTTGGAATTGGTTTCAAAAAGAGAACGATCGCAATCGTCACATGGTCGCATGGTCGAAGGAAAGTGACAACGGGAACCGTTTTTCTTCGTCCAGGTGAAAGCATACGACGCCGACACACCACCTTACAACGACCAAGTCAGATATTTCCTGAAAGAAGGAGATACCGATCTCTTTCGAATAAACGCGAGCACCGGGGATGTGTTTCTCCTGAGATCGCTGGACAGAGAATCCGTGCCCGAGTACACTCTGACGTTGGTGGCGATGGATACCGGTGAGTCACTTTCCAAGTTTCTCTTTAATTCGGCCTTAAGCCAAGCCTTAAACCTTGCAAAGTCCTCTACGAACAGGGTGTGGAGAAACTAAAATTAGAATAAACCCTCGACGAGATCGTAATTACTCAGTTTTGAGGACCGCGCGCGTCGTCTCGCGTGGAAACGAGTTGCCGCCATCTTGGATACCTAATACACCGCGTATAACGTTCTCCGGCTTGGCACGCTCGTCCACACCTTCGAAATGCAGATGCACATTCCTATGAGGCACGTAACCGTAATAATAATAATACTACTCGAAATAAGCCCGCCATAGATAACGTGCTTTCAAAAGTTTAAGCGCGTCCCAGGAAACGGCACTCGCGTGAGAGTGTTCACGTGCATTTCTTCGCCCGTTTCCTAGCACTCGATTTGCGAGTCAGGGTCGACTTAAGGCGATATGAAAGTATCATCAGAGAGGTCTCGTCTATGAAACTTTTCTCCATGCTGGGTGTACCGAACTGTTGCAAACTTAATTATATGAATATCAAGGCTATAGGAAAAGTCCCGATCCCCATGAAACTTAAATAAAAAAAAATTTTTTAGACCATTTAAAAATTTGTTATAAAAAAAATATATAATTTCATAGGCGTCAGGACCTTTCTTACAGCCTCCATATTCACGTTATAAAGTTTCAAACGATTCGGTACGTTCAGTTCAGTGAAAAGTTTCATAAACGATTGACCCCTCGGATACCACTTTCGTGCCCCCTTAACGCAGAATTACCCCCCAAATGCCGTCGTTGTCGAATCTTTTCACGTTTCAACTTTTCATTAATTGCACTTTGCGACTTAAGTGTGAACACGGTAACGATAACCTACTCGAAGTCGCGTTTGTCATGACGTGACGTAACAAGATGGAGGAAACTGGTTCCGCTCGGTCCGAGTCGGTAGAGGAGCGCCGATCTGCGCAGACGCGTCAGATAGGAGGTGAGGTAGGTACCTAGCCACGTTCCTCGAGGTCTCGGCCCGAGAGAACCGAGTGGTACCTAGATATAGATGGGAGATAGAGACGCACGGAGGCTGGGGAAAATAAACCAATAGAGAAAGCAGGAATGCGAGACTGCCGGGACTCCGGAGAGAGAGAATTAGGCTCCCTCGACGGCAGTCCTGCGCCGCCACTGTCGTCTTCGCTCCTTAGATCTATCTCGGTCTTTTCCTTCTTCCGTCCTCCTCCTTTCTAACTTTTATGACGGAGGTGGATTATCGCGCCGGCGCACTTAGGCGGGGAGGCACGCAAACTACGTCCAAGGGATTTATTATGTCGAATAGGCTAATCGTATATTATAACCAGCTTCCTCGTTCCTATCCGAATACCTCGGCATAGATGCCTCGCTACAGCGAGATGCGATTATCCTAATCGATCGAACTAAAATCGAATTCTGGCTAATCGACACGTTCGGAGCGATCGAACGCTCTATCGGCCATTAAGGGCGATTTTCCAGGACCTCACAGGGACAATGATTCGGAATAATTTTTGATAAGTGGTCATTTTCATATTAATAAAAAATTCAACGATATAATTCCCGTGCTCTTTTAACCAGGAAGGGGTTGCTTTAGCGAAAATCTCCTGTGTAAACACGCGTCAACGTTTTATCTTTAGAAGGAGCACTAGTTAAGCTCGATCAGAGGAAAAGTACGCTCGGAATTGTTATCTTCGTCCTGGAAAATCACTGCAGTGGTGAGCGCCCTTAAGGTGCTCGTTTGAACGTTTTCTTGGTTCGTTAAGGTCCATAGGATCAAAACGATTTTTCATTTTCTTCCGGCTAAGTTTTGAGTAAACAGTCGCGGGCTTATCGCAGAATTCGATTTCGCGCAATAAGGTCCGAACGTACGCGGTTGCTCCGCAGGCGGAATTTATTATGTCGGGCGAGGAGACTGTAGATTCCGAGGAGCTTCCCCCGTGCTTTTTAAAACTCTCGAAAATTCATACGACCGACTCGCAGATGGACACGGATAAGCTCCTGCTACCCGTCCTGAATGGAGAAAATATTACCGGAAAGTAATATCTTTACTATTTAATGGTTTCGAGCATCTTTCAAAGATCCTTACGATAAAGCGACCGAGGGTACAAGCGAGGGTTGAATCCGTCTTGGGAAAAATTTCTCTTCTCCTATCGCGGTATCCATTCATAATATAGCGCGGAGAGAACTATACTGCAACTATACTCCAGCTAAGATTTACCGTACACCCGTCCTGTTAAAAATCACGCGTAGAATTTACACCACGCGGCGTTAAAGTCTTTCCAATTAATTTCAAGCAACGCCTGGCTACGAAGAATAGGAACCCCTGGTAGAATTGTAAATGCATTTCGACTTTCAGGAAAGGTATCCGAGGAGTCCCTCGCCTTCTATGATCACGTGTTAAAGTTTCAAATTATTCGGTGCACCCTGTTTGGAGAAAAGTTTTATACATGTTTTGACTTTTTTGTATATATGTATATGATACTTTCATAATACCTTAAGGTACAAAGCGAGCCGCGTCACTCTGTTTCCGTAAAATAACCGAAGTTAAGCGACGTCGGGGGTGGTATTTCCTTCTTAGATGGGTGACCAAATTCAAAAATCGTGATAATATTGGGTCGATACTGGGCCAGAATCCAACATAGATATAAGTTCAAATCAAGGGCAGAGTGTGTGCAATGCGCAAGGTGCCGGGAACCCCCCCCAGAGGTCGAGGGTACTCGGGTAAAATTCGCGTACAAGGCACCCGGTCCGAAGGTATATGGCAGAAAATATAAGGTTAGGCATCTTCTCTTCGGTCTTGGGCTCACTCGGATCCAGTCGGGGATTATCTGCGTATCGAACCTCGCGGCGACCGATACGAGTTCTCGCATTATTCTCGGCTGCACGCAGCGAGGGAATCGACCGACTCCCGACCGTGAACGACCAGAGTACTTCCACGCAAACCCCCTAAGGGACTTAGAAAAAGAGACCACATTCCTTTTTATACACGTGGCTGCACTTTGTCCGACAGATCGGACTAGATTAGACATGGACAAAGTGCAGCCGCGTCCGTAAGAAGCAATAATTTCGTTTCAGTCGGGTTTGGTTCGGTCGGAATGGGTTTGATCGACTGTAGCCATAGTTTTAGGCTGTTATCACATCACAACAGATCAGATTATGTCAGATCAGATCGAAAAAGTAATTTTCTTTCTAAAGTGAAATTTGAAGACCGTGATTAGAACCTCCATAATCATGGGTTTAAAATTTTTAATTATTCGGTACACTCAGTTTGGAGAGATGGTTTATAAATATTTTGACTTTTTGATGTACGTATATGATACTTTCATAAGGCCTTAAAGGCGCTCGCCACTCCAGTGCCATCTAACGATTGAAGTCATCGTTCCCACTTTGCTGGAGAACGCTAAAGGGGTATTTACTCAAGAAATCGTGAATCTTAACGAATTTTCGAGATAACGTGGAAATCAGCTGGAAATCGCAAGAGAAAATCACTGAAAATCGTTGAAAATTCCCGAAGTACTGTCAAGATTTTAAGGCCGAACGTTACTTGTTACCGAATCGCATTGTTGTTTATATGGAATCAAAGGAAATTGGTTCTCAAAGAAGGAAATAATTTTCACTGATTTCCAAGGGAATAGCCTCGGTGAACACCGTTTAAGAATGTTTAATTCGGTCGGATTCGGTCTAGTCTAGTCTGGTCTGATCTGAACGGATGTGATCCACTATGTCGGATTCATAACCTAACTAAACGATCCAGGCGAAGTATTCCGTTCGACCGATCTCTACCCCTCTTTCTCTCCAAGTCTTTCGACCGCAAACGCGTATTCCACGCTCGATTACCCTTATTAATATACGAAACGTTCCCGAGAAGCAATTACAATAGCGAGATATGCTAAACGACGCCGCGACTGGAAAAGGGAAGAAGCGGAGGAGCGCGGCCGATCTTATCCATGGCGTTCGTTAATTAATTAATCGACAGGATCGCGGCGCGGAGTGTGAGCTCTTGGTTAAGCTCCCCAGTTATGGCCTAGCGTGTAATAAACGCAATACCAACGGCCTAACGATACGGTTTATTTACAGCGGGAGCCGTAATAGTTTCGCGGTGTCGTATTCCACCTTGAGCAAGCGATTACTTCGAATTTTTTCCCGAGTCCTGACCGACTCGCCAGGAGTCTCGAGACCGGACGAGATTTCGATTTCCTCGGACCCGTTTACACCGACTGGCCGCACGCGCGATCGAGATCCCGCCGATTTATCGACGCGGTCGCTTCACTTGTTAATTTCTCGTTAAGAACACGAGTTTAGGACGCGCCACCAAGGAAGCTAACCTTCGTTCCTCTATTCCGAACCGATTTTCAATGTTCATTTATAAGATTAATTAGAGAAATTTGTGGTGATACCATTGTCTCTACGGTTTTATTATTACGGGTACAGTTTAACCCGATTATATTAAACATCGTGAACATTGACGGAAGCATGGATGTTAAATGGCCCCAGGATGTAGTTGCAAATTTTCCTACAGGGGGAAAATGGATAAATCTCATTCGAAAAGCGCGATTATGTAATCGGGTGCTCGAGGGGGCCTCTTTTCTCAGATTTCGAGCGAATTCCCTCTTAACTCATCGTACCACTTTCACCAGCCGAGCAGAGAGAGGTAATGCTCGATTCGATCCACTCGATCCGGAGGGAAAGGGGTGAACGTGATCGACGAGTGCGATCCCGAGCGGTGTAATTACTCGAGGAAAATTCCCCTCGGAATTGGCAACTAAGGAGTGCTACGAGTTTACCAGGAAATCTCGACCGACATTTTTTGCGAGACCGCCATTTAAAGGAGCCGGAAATTCTCTGGTCTTGATTTTTATACTCCGATTCGCTCACTCGAGGCAACGTCGAGGCCGAACGAACCAAAAACCCGAATTTTCATATTTACAGTTTCTCTGATCGAGTAATTCGTGATCCGTTATTTCCGACGCGTTCTCGGAGCTAGAAAATATTGACGCT